TTGACAAACAAAAGAAGGTACTGCTGAGTACGAGGAGGTGTACCTTTCGCACAAAGAGAGTTGTGATGCCAATCATGAAGGTAGTGCCGGGAAAATGGAAGTCGACGGCGTCATAGAAATGTTCAAACGGTCCGAAGAAATACATAATATCAAATACTTGAAATACATCGGCGATGGAGATTCAAAAACGTACAAAGCTATAATCGATTCAAAACCATATGAAGATGTCATCGTTGAGAAAAAAGAATGCGTCGGCCACGTGCAAAAGCGCATGGGAATGCGGCTGCACAATTTGAAAAAAAAAACGAAAGGTCTTGGCCGGAAATTGACCGGAAAATTAATAGATGAACTTACAATTTACTACGGACTTTCAATTAGGAGAAACTCCGATTCAGTCGAAAAAATGCGGATTGGAATTTGGTCGACGTTATATCATAAAATGTCGACGGACGAGAATCCACAGCACGAGAAGTGTCCCGTCGGAGTAGACACTTGGTGTTCTTGGCAGCGCAGTAAAGCGCTTGGTACTCTTGCAACATACAAGCACAAGAGTCCAATGCATGAGGATGTTTTCAAGGCGATACAACCCATTTATAAAGAACTCAGCTCTGACAACCTTCTGTAACGCTGCTTGGGTGCGTATTCACAAAATAGTAACGAGTCCTTCAATGCTGTAGTGTGGTCAATTGCTCCAAAAACGATATCTAGCGGTAAGACTATAGTTGATATTGCGACTGATGTAGCCGTTATAACCTTCAACGATGGCTTGTCGGGTCTGTTTGCCGTTTACGATGCTCTTGGGTTAACCGTTGGACCGAACATGTACGAGTTTTGCGTGAGATCGGACGCTAATCGCGTCAAAGTCACTGAGCATCGTATGTCCGATATCGCGAAAGAGGCTAGGCGCAGCCTTACATCAGACAAAAAAAAGGAAGAAGAGGAAAATAAGGTTCGGGAAGGACAACTTTACGGCGCAGGGATAGCTGACTGAAGGTAAAAAAATTATTAAGGACTATATTATTGCGATTCTTAAGATTTATAGCATTTTGAAACTTTAAACGCGTTTTTCTCAAAACCATTTTTTCAAAATCGGCGAGCAGTAGAACTGTAAAAGTTTATATCCAATTGACTTGAAATTTCAACTGTAGCTTCTTAATTAGATTATCTAGTAAAGTACACACGATTTTAGCGATTGATTAACAACAAAAAAAGTTATAAACAATTAAAGTCGATTTTTTTGTCGAAAAAAAAATATTTATTTTCAAACCGTCGCCATTTTGCGAAAAAAAATTCTAAAAATATAATCATGTGTACTTCACTAGCGACACTCATGTAGATAATGAAAAAATTTTTTTTTTTATTATAGGTGGAGTTGGGCACGACTTCTACTGCTCGCCGCGGAAGAACTTTTTAAAAAAGCGGTTCACGGCAATCGCTGCAGAGCCGCCATTTTGTAAAAAAAATAATAAAAAATTTTTTTCTATTCTCCAAGAGTTACTTAATCCAATGATATATTATTTATATACCTTACATCTCAAATGTCCTTTAAAAAATATCAAGAAAAAAGCCTTATTTTTTTTAGCATTTGGTGGATATTACCCCTTAACGGAGCGGCGGTTAGCTCTGCATCGTGGGAGTTTGTTCGTTAATAAATTTCTCATTTTTGCTAGATAACCATACCGTTACAAGTTATAATATCTATTGAATTTTGACAGTTTCTATCGTCATTGAAGGTATTATAAATATATGTGTGTTATGTAAATATTGTATGTGAAGTATTTATAACCGATAGAAACGCAGCTACTGTATCAGATAGGTAATACTGAGAGTTAGGTGTTTATTAGTTACACGTGTATGCATTGACTGTAAATGCCGTGAGTAAATTATCTCTACTTAAAATTTTTTGTTTTCAAAATTTAACTTGTTAAAATATAAGAATATATATCATCTTTCCTAAAATAAGTCGATTATATAAAAAATATAGTTTCAATGACAAATTGTTCAAACGGTCAGTATTGTAAAATGCGTGAAAAGTAATCTTTGTGGTATAATTTTATTATATTTGTAAAATCGAATGAATTACTAATTCTAACAATAAAATGTTTGTTTAATATAAATCAATTATCTATATATTTTTTATTGAAAACTTATGAAATTTTATTTGTATAACTAAATTTATCGATATTAATCTTTCGATCGTAAGCCAATGAATAAGCAAGATTTCAATACACCAATTGCGAAGACTAAAAAAAATTGAAAAGAGAAGATAATATTAACTCAAAAGTTATAAAAAAAAAGTCGTCGTAAAACTAAAAGTAAATTATAATTTATTGGTTATATTATTTATGGTTATTTATATCAAAACATATATATGCGTAATATTGAAATATAATAATTATTTATATTATTATAAGTTATGATAGTTAATCTTAGAATTTCATTATGGTATTGTGAAATAAAAATATTGTTTATATTCTTGAGTATTATTCATTTCATTTGAAAAGTTGACTTATTATACGAGGTCTGTTCAAAAAGTATCGCGAATTTAGTATGTTCTCAAAACTTATTTATTCATTCATGAATATCTATTTTATCTCCTTCAAAGTAATTCCCCTCGGATATAATGCACATATGCCAACGTTTTTTCCAACCCCCGAAGCACTTAAAAAAATCATTTTTTGTGATCTTGTTCAGCTCCTCCTTCAATTCCATCTTTATCTCTTCAATCGTCACGTAGCGTCATCCTTTCATGGGTCTCTTCAGTTTTGGGAACAGGAAAAAGTCACAGGGGGCTAGGTCTGGGGAATACGGTGGCTGCGGCACCATTACTGTGTTGTTTTTGGCCAAATATTCGCACACAAGTAACGATGTGTGAGCAGGGGCATTATCATGGTGCAAAAACCAGTTTTTGTTCTTCCACAAATCCGGGTGTTTCTGGCGGATTGCTTCGCGCAAATTGCGCATAACTTACAGGTAATATTCCTTATTGACCGTACTACCCTATGGTAAGAACTCATAATACACCACGCCCCTGTAATCGAAGAAAACGGTGAGCAAAACCGTCACGTTCGACCGAACTTGGTGCGCTTTTTTCGGTCTTGGTTCATGCGGCAGCTTCCATTGGGATGATTGAGCTTTGGCTTCCACGTCATAACCATAAACCTATGATTCATCACCCGTTATAATCCTCTGGAGCACATTCGAATCGTCACGAATCGAGTTCAACATCTCCTGAGCAATGTTAACGCGATGTTGGTTTTGGTCGAAATTGACCAGTTTAGGCACGAATTTTGCGGCGACCCGACTCTTGTCCAAATCATTAGTTAAAATCGAATGTCATGAGTCAATCGATATATTTAGATACTCAGAAATTGCTCTAACGGTGATTTGACGATTGGCCAATATTATTTTCTTTACTTTATCAATGTTATCGCCTGTTGATGACGTGCTCGGGCACGTTGTCCGGCACGTTGTTCGTCGTTGACATCTTCTCGGCCCTCTGAGAATATTTTGTACCACCAATAAACATTGCTTTGGTCCAAGGTAACTATACCATATGCTACAGTCAATATTCGGAATGTGTGCGCGCATTTTATTTTGTTTTTAACACAAAATTTGATACAGATATTTGATCCATTTTTTAGAATAGGCAAAAATCGAAGACAAACCAAAACACATCCAAACAAAACAGCTGTCAAAAGTTAACTATACATTCAAAATGGCCGACCGTGTTAGCATAAGTAAGGGACATGAGTACCAACATAACGCTACAAAAAAATGAAAAATCAAATTTACGTAGCCAGCGGAAATTCAAAATTCGCGATACTTTTTGAACAGACCTCGTACATGAAAAAAGTTTATCTATGTGATTAATCATTAGTATGTGTATACATTATAACGGCCGGGGCCGTTTTCGCGGAAGATTGTCCGCGCACGAGGCCGAGCATGGCCAAGCGGGCAAGCGAGCGAGGAGTGAAGAGAGAGAGACAGAGCGAAACTCGATGAGGCGCGTGCCGTAGCGGTAGAGTGGGGGGAGAAAACGATTTTCGAACACTTGGACTTAGACCGGCGAGCTCGAGGGATTGTCACGTGCGCGCGCGAACAAAAGAAAAGACGAAAAAAAGGAAAGCGACCGGCAAATAAAGAGAAGTGCGAGTGTGCGAGAAAAGTGGACACTATCCTCAAGGATCGCCGGAGCCTGTGGATCGTCATCTCGAGTGGGCGATTACCAGGGGCAGAACTTGCCCGCCCGAGCAAGGGCGATAACGCGGGCGATTAGCAAGGAGTAGTCTGTCTGCAGCAGCTACTTCCCGGTGAGTTTCTCTCTGTTTATAAGCGACAACTTAGCGTGCGTTAGTTGCGCGAGCGAGCGTCTCTCTTTCTAAAGTAGTATTGATAGCGAAATCTCGGCATGCGGTAATTGTATAAAATTTGTCTAAAGGAATAAAGCCCGATTTGACCTACTCAAGTGTTGCCGTTGTGTTGGGCGTACCCAGGAAGGCACCCTTGTCCCTTCCCACGCCCGCGATTAGAATCTACGCACGCTCTCGTGCTTAGCCGCGCTTTCGCGATCCCTTCTCAGGGCAGCGAGTACCCGCCCGTATTCGGCGGAACGCCAGGAAGCGGCTAGCTGATCGGGGCAGCGCGGCGGTGAGCCCCGCACCGAACAGCGAAAACAAAATTCTTAACGGGCCGCGAGAATAATTTGATTATTCCCCGGGCCGTTACAACATATTTCGTTGAAATTATAAATTTTATACTTTTTAATTTAGGATTAACTTCTTACGAGTTGATTATTTATAGTATTTATTAATAATTGATTAATATGATCTTTAAAAAATGATAATATAGATTTCACGTTCCAAAAATTGTACAATCTTGCAATTTTTCACAACTATTTGATATTCAATGTCTTCATACTCATCAAAATAGTTCAGAAAAATTCATTTATCAAAATGAATTATAATTATCAAGACATTTTGTCCAGAAAAACATATTACCTGTATCGATTTGTAAAGATATTAGGGAGGTCACACTCAATTAATAACTCACTGCGACAAAGAGGATCTGCCAACCATAACGGCATATCTATTTTAGTCTCTGGTTCTATATTTGTTTTTTTCAATGGACATAAAAAACCTGTAAAAATAAAGTTTCGATTAATTAAAAACATAATATTTGTTTTTACGTTAGATATATACATAAGCAAAAAAAAATACAATTTATATTAAAAAGAGTAAAATAAATCTTTATAACACTTCGTACACAGTCTTCTCTTAATAAGCACTCCATAAATCAAATATGCTTAAAATTGACACATATTCGTAAATACTGTATTTTGTCTTGACAATCTCAAGTTTTTAATCCAAAATCTTAATCGCTTCCTGGCACAAATGTCTAAATGTACATTTCCGTAATATGCGCAAGAAAATATTCTCGGATATTTTCTGCATATTGATATCAATATTGCGATTGAAATATTATATATATATATATATATATATATATATATATATATATATATCAATGTATCAATATTATGATATATATATATATATCAATGTATATGTGTTTTTAAGGTTATTACATATGGATCTTATTAACTAAGAACATTTAAAAAAAAATTACCTATCCCGATTGCTGAAAAGTCATAAGGATGACACCCCAGTATTGCATAGAACACATTTTTGTATTATGCCAACATAAGTATCGATTCATATACATATACAAGCAACTCCTATATAAGTCCCTCTCCGCATGTAAGACTCAAAAAGTTATGCAGACATCAGCATACGTACCGCAATGTTTGGCGCACTGCCGCTGATCCTCTGCGATCCCCATTAAACTTGCAAGCGCGTGTGAGGCATCTTGCGTTGTTACTCTTACGAGTAGTAGAACGTCGTCGCTGAAAGGGTGTACGGAATTGTGAATTCGTGAGATGTGTGCAGGTTACAATTCGACAGAGAAGCAAAGTTGTGCAGGGCCAAACACAATGATGAGTACGTGCAGAGATTAGAAACCTCCATGATTTATTCAGTAAAGTGGTAAGGTCAGGTACAAAAAGAAATAAATACACTAGTTGAACCAAGATTCTACATGCTACAAACATCGAATCGCGGTAGAGAGAGAAAGCCACAGCTAACGCGAACTATCAAACGTGGATAACGCGGCCGAATTTTCGGGACGCGTACTCTTTCAGTTAAATGCTGGACAGCTTACTTTATATTCACAACTCCATGACTTCACTCTCTCGATCCTTTTTTGCTCGACCGTTCATCTCGGCTCACATTTCGTTCTTCGTCCTCTTAACGCAATCGGCAGCCTCTCGTACTAGTTGTCTCATGAGTTGTGTTGCCCAATCTCCGGTACTTGAATATCTATCTCTTCGCTCTCCCACCTCACATGCGCGCGCAGCCCGAGTCGACCGGTGTTGCCCTTACGCTCGCGATGGCAAACAAGCGAGTCTGCTCAATGAACAAGGCTCGTTATTAACGGATCATTCTTTGTCAACCGCCATCCCCCCACCCTTTCCAAAATTATTCTATCACGTATCCTTCTCGATGGTTACTGTCAAGATTTTAGCCGGATCGGAGTTGTAGTTTATTTTTGAGAGCGTGTGAAAGCAAGTGTCTCCGTTGATTTTTGAAAAATGGAAAAAGAGCAGTATTCATCGGTATTCGATTCTTGTTTTTGGAAGGGAAATCGCGCAGCGATATCGAAAAGCACTTGGATGCTGTGTACCGTGACTCTTCTCCTTCGATGCCAACTGTCAAAAATTTGTTTAACGAGTTTCAATGTGGTCGCTGTCGGTTTTTGAAGAGCCACGTCCATGTGCTCCGAAAACGGTTACCACAGAGGATAACGTGACAAAAATTCACGATCTCGTATTGGCAGATCGACGATTGAAGGTGCACGAGATAGCTAAGATCGTAGGCATCTCAAAAGACCGCGTGGATCATGTCCTGCATGAAATTTTGGGCATAAGAAAGCTGTCGGCGCGATGGGTGCCGCGTTTGCTCACTCCGGACAACAAGCGCAACCGCGAGACAACTTCAGAGCAATGTCTGACGCTGTTTAAGCGCAATCCGAAGGAGTTTCTGCGTCGTTTCGTGACAGTCGACGATATATGGATCCACTGGTATACATCAGAGACTAAGGAACAGTCGAAACAGTGGACTTTACCCGGCGAAAGTGTTCCGAAGAAGGCGAAGACTGCTCCATCGGCCGGAAAGGTGATGTCCACCGTTTTCTGGGATTCACAAGGTGTGATCTACATCGACTACCTGGAGAGGGGCAAAACGGTCACAGGACTGTACTATGCCGAATTATTGGGCCGATTCGACGTCGAATTGCAAAAGAAATGGCCCCATTTGGCGAAGAAAAAAGTGCTCTTCCACCATGACAACGCACGGGCTCACACCTCCGCCGTCGCCATGGCCAAATTGGTCGAATTAGGCTACGAACTGCTGCCCCATCCACCGTATTCTCCAGATTTAGCCCCGTGCGACTTCTTTTTGTTTCCAAACTTGAAAAAGTCACTCGCCGGGCAGAAATTTGAGTCGAATGAGGAGGTATTCGCTGCCACGGAAGCCTACTTTTCAGACCTCGAGGAAACGTATTTTTCAGACGGATTAAAGAAGTTGGAGCATCGCTGGGCCAAGTATATCGAACTAAAAGGAGACTATGTTGAAAAATAAAACGCCACTTTTCCAAAATTTTCGTTTTTCTTTTGTAGGCTAAGTACTTATCGGACCACTCTCGTAAAAGAAGACTATGTTGAAAAATAAAAAAGATTTATTAAAAAAAATCAAGCAGTTTTCAAACGACCTTCGTCATTCGGCCCAAGTTTCTTATAGCGCGAGACGTTCTATAAGTCTTGCTCAGTTAATCACCATGAGAGAAAGAACTTAGGTATCAGCCAAGTTTATTCAGACTCATGTGCTCACTTTGCAAGGCTAGAAGTGAATCCCAGCCTGTGCAATAGTGGGCGTATTTATACACAAATTTTCCCGCCTATTTTGCAGGAGCGTTTTCTTCGAGAAATTTTCGAATATTCGAGAAATATTCGCGAATTTTGAGAAATGAGTTTTCTTAATTTACAAATAAATAAACATTAATAATGAGCTTTCAACATATGTGAACTTTACAGAATTCGTTATTTATTGATTTAGTGTAATTATCGCTAATAGTGTCGTTAAAAGTTATTAACTAATAAAGTTAATTAATGTAATATTACAATATTTACAATAAAAATTATTAGATTTTTACATAACTTTATAGTTTATTAATTTTAGAAGTATATTCTAAAAAGAAATATTCAAATTAGTTAATAACATTTGAATTATAACAAATTTTCATATATTTAACGGTTTTTTCTATAAACTTATAACGCAATTATTACATTAATTATCTAAGATTTATAAATTATAAAGCTGTCATTATTAAATATAAAATTAACGCTTTCGTTCTATGTACAATTTATTGTTTAAATAAATTATTAATTGTTTATTTATTAATAACAGTTATTATTAAGCTGTTCTTAATGAAACCAATTCTTACTCATGTTCTTTTCTTATTCATTTTGCATATGAACTATTTACATTTTTCTAATAATTCATATTTTTAGTGTAATAAATAAATTAACTTTGCATATTAAATATCATTATTATTTAATAATATTATTTAAATAATGCAATTCATATTATTATAATCTAAATCTATGTACTAAAATCTATATAAGAAATGTTTTGTTACATCAAAATTACGTGTAATTAACATATTTTAATAAAATAACAAAACCTATTATATCTATATCTATAAGTCTGTGACGTCACACTCCTTGTTTTGGTTATGAAATTAGACTCCTGTACTAATACAATCGAATAATTGGTGAGGTGGCGCCGTTTAATGTGCTGATTTGAGTAAACAGATACATCCGTTTGACGGGTTGCAGTGATTCAGTAACATAATCAGCTAGCTCATAGATAGGACCGTTACAAGATATTTGAGCAAGATATTGAGCATTGGAAAAAAGGAAGGATTTTTGAAGATACCTCAAGTACTTTTTCAAAATCTTTTTAAAATGGGAAAAATCTGCGCTGCTATATAACCTCACAAATGATCAAAAACACTATTTTTTTGGACTTTTAGATTAGAACATTTAAAAATTCTGAAGAGAAGGAGTAATTCTGAGGCGGAATTCGTTTTCACTGACCCAAAAACTATACGGAATGACTAATCTTGTTTAATGTACAAGATTCACGTCAGGCTATGATTATTGTAGGTTTATAAGCATATAAAAAGAAAATAATACTTTTATAAAAATATAAAATTTTAAAAATATATAAAATTATTTTTATTGGTTTATAACCATTTAAAAAATGATGTATCCTTTATGGAAATATAATCGGAATTTTATGTTCATAAGAATACATAGTTTTAATAGCACTGAGAACACATTAATTGGTCGTAGTGTAATTTTTTTAAATAAAAATAAAAATAGGGTAACTGCTCCAGGCTTAGCCACTTAAGAGTTGATCTGACTTTGAAGCATAATATTAATTCAAAATCATTTTATACATTTATTGAAAAGTTTTTAAAAAAATAATTATTAACTAGTTTGAAAGTAAATCAGAAAAAAGTACTAAAAGTCTCATTGTGAGGCCGAATCTAATATATTTCTTATATACAAAAATTGTATAAAACAAATATGTAAAATATGAAAAAAATTGTAATATATATGCTCAAACTGTATGTCACGATTACTATTAGTTAAACTGGCTACAATTTGGGCAAATGGTCTGATCGATAAAATTAGCATACTACCTGATTTTTGCTAGTCTTAACGTATCACTTACCTAGAAACTGTTGAATCTACTCTCATCATAGTTTGAGATGTCCAACTCATGAGATATCCTACCCTCATGAGAAATAAGCAAATCTAAATCCACTAATTTTTGAATAAGGCATTTTTTCCTCACTCAGTAGTTCTATTAAGCCTTCTTGACCTACTACGGGTACTGAATGGAGAAACTTATTTGTATCTTAAACATTTAATTTGTTACTCCTATGATACTGGGAAACTAGTTTTCCTACTTTAAGGAGGATTAAAGTAAAACTTTTCGTTTAGTCATATTTCA